CATATGAATTGATCGACAAAGGAGTTCCAATTTTTCTAGATTCGATTTCCAAATTTGGTAATAATCCTGACTGTATTGATGTAATATATGTTTGATGATCAACAGCAGGGCTGGCAGCGTAAAGGGGTTAAAAACCTAATTTAGTAACAATAAACTTGACTAAACTTGACTAAACTTGACTAAACTTGACTTAACATATGACTAAATAGTTTAGTCAGTTTAGCCAAGTTCTCATTTGAGTTACGCAGCCAGCCCTGATCAACAGCCATGGAACACCACAAGAACTGATGGAGTTTGGACTGGTCCATTGCCATTAATAAAATACTAAATATGGTTAAAGTGTTATGCCAATGGACCCAATGGACCACCAATAGGCCATCAATGGACCGCACATTTGCCAACCCTGCTATCATGAGACTTTTTCACTTTCCTGATTGCCTCTCTAAATTTTGATTCACATTCTAAATTTAGTGCTACATTCTGGTCTGGAATGTTTTTTTGATATATTAAATTAAGCAATGGAGAGCCAAATATAGTAATCATTGTTTTTGAATGTGAACCAGGAATTAGTAAAAAATCAATGATAAAGACAAGATTTCTTGGACATTAGATTCTACAGTCAAACTGCCATCATTTGAAATTTTTACCAATTCATTTTGATATTGTCTGAATAACTGTGAAACATTGGTATTTCCTATTTTATAATCATCTGACAATTCCTCTTTCTTGAAGCAAAGATTACCAATATCATCAATTATTACATCATCCTTATCCTCACCCTCTTCAATAAATGGATTATCTGCCAGAGTGCATAGTAATGTATAATTACACGGTGTGGGTGTAAGACAATCATTTTTGTTTTGTCTTTAAATGTTCTTTCATCATCATAATCATCCAGAAAATATAAAAAAAAATTGCATGTGTCAATTGTAAATTTAATAATAAAAAAGTGTAAAACTTACATTGGCACTGTAAGATATACGTGATATTATGTCAGAATTGTAAGATTTATGCAAGTTTATGCTAAATTAATTTCCTGATGATCAATGTCAGATTGTCTTTTTAAGAAATAGCTAATTTGACTGGATTTGTTGGATTTGTCCTGATGATATAAATGGTATTAGTCTTTGATTAGGAAAAGAATGAGCTCAAGAATTGATCTGCCATATTATCACATTAACCAGCCTCAAATTTTGACAATTCAGATGTTAATTTATTACTTTATATATTATGCTCATTTATAACATTAGAATCAATGTGACTTCTATGTTGTATCTAAATAATAATTTGCAAATAAGAAAAAATAGTAATTATAACTTGCAAGTATAAATACATGTACTAACCTTTTTTTCTTCCAAATAAATTGATTAATGTGGGTTATGTCTCATTCATTTTTTATCTGAATAGAGAACCAATACTGTATGACACTGCTAGAGTTCATGTGTTCATTGATTGTATTTAAAATGCTTGTTGCCCTTTCTGAGTATTCATCATTCCAGGGTTGGGAAATTGACTGGTCCATTGAGAACAGATGAATTTTGGACCAGTCCATTGCCATTAATAAAATACTAAATATGGTTAAAGTGTTACACTAATGGACCACAATGGACCACCAATGGACCGCACATTTGCCAATCCTGCATCATTCATCAAAACAAGTGTTTTTAATGCATCCCACAAATTATCTTCTGCTTGATCTTTTTGAGAAAATTGATATCCCATTTTTTTAAAAAATTTGTTGGCTGTAAACCTTGTGAAATGACTTCTCTTAGTACATCAACGTGATTCTGCCCATTAAAAAGGGATAATAATTAATAAATACTGTAAACTAATTCAGTAATGATATATAATAAAAATAATAAATACCATTTTCATCTAAAAAAATGAGAAGGGGTTATTATTGCAAGAAAGATTAGTAAGAGGTTCTCATAATTATTATTAAATAACATTTCCTTCTCAAACCAAGCTTTCTCCAGTTATGGTAAGATCGATACATCAATCCCAAATGGTCATAATGTATCCATTTCTCCGACAACACCAGAGTGAGGAGACCTCCAATGGGATTACAGGCCAGAAAAATGCTGACTAAAAAAGCCAGAACCTTATCATATCTTTTGAAGGCTGTGTGACATTCCCCCAAGCAAGGAGACCTCCAGTGGGATTACAATCCAGCAAAATGTCGGGTTTGCAAATATACACAACGTAAAACTAAATTTAACTTAACTGAAGTTTGAAAGAATGCATTGAATAATCAAAATTGATGGGAGATAAAATCATTTATGGATTGTTGTACAATATCATCCGGTCCCGTTTACTTCGTCGAAAATTATTTCGTTGACAATCACTTCGTTGACAATCACTTCGTTGACAATCACTTCGTTGACAATCACTTCATTGACAATCATTTCGTTGAAAGTTCATTTCATCGAAAGTTCATTTTGTTGACAGTTTGTTTTGTCGAAAGTTCATTTCGTTGAAGTTCATTTCGTCGACAGTTCATTTCGTCGGCTTATGTATCGTACTAATGATAAATGAGGTGATGATAGTGATGGCAACAATATTGACATTGAATATTTTAGTATTGATAATAATTATTGTTTTTTAGTAGAGTGTGTGGATCAGACAGATTGGTAATATTCCTTTCATGATGCATAAGTTTGAGTCATTCGTATACTTCCAAACTAATTAGCACTCTGATTTTAGCTGAATTTTCAGAATTCCATCAGGAATGTATAATATCAAATTTCTTTCTTAATTACAATCATACAAATGAAAATTATACTAATAATAAATAAATTAAATGGTAGTAGTAGGATACTAAACAGTGCAATGCATATGTTACGCTAAATCATTAAATTGAAAATTAGTTTTTAAAATCGTATGATTAAATGGGTCTGACAATCAAGTAGGGTTTCTAGCCCAAACTGTTTCTCAGAGCTCAAACTATTTTGTCGATTTGGGGTTTTCAACGTTTTTTATATAGAGGTAGGTATATTAGACCAGAAACCTTACAATCAAGCTATCAGACAAATTTTGTGCTTTAATTACAAAAGTATACTTTAATAATAATAATATCGTGTTAAATAAATAAATAAATACTTTTTAATTTTTGTCAATTTTTGGCTAGCATCATAACTATGCATGCTCTATAAACTTGTTTTTTAAAAAACAATAATAAAAAATTTACTAGAACATTCAAAAAAATCATAAATTTGTCTCTTAAATTGGTCACGTTTACTTCATCGACAATCATTTCGTTTATTGTTATGCTATATCGAGGTAGTTTCGAAGTTATATCAAGAGATATGTTCAAGAGAAGAGTTAGAAAGAGAGTTGTTCTTTGACCAAGTCGAAAACCAACCCTTTAAATACAATTTCAAGTAGCACAATTTAATTTATTAGACTAATTTCTTCGACATTTGGTTTATTGTTAAAAGGTAGTTTCGAAGGTATAGTGCAAGTCAATAAAAATTTTACAGTCATATGATTTTTGAAGATCGTCAGGTGTTAAATATTAATTTTTCTTTTACATTTATTCCTATATACATATGTAAATGATGATTAGAACAATAAATAACAACAATAATGATTATAGTGATGTTATTAAATATAAGTTAAAATAAAAGAGAAATTTATATAAACTATTGAATGATTAATAAAACCTTCGTTAGTATATTTTGTTCATAGATCTTGTCCTTAAAGCTTACTTCGATTACTCCTACACAAACTATT